CAAAAGTCCAAAAAAGTCAGCCAGCCACTCCTTTTCCTAGCGCCTTCCTCATTCGTTGTGATATTATTGTCTTCTATCTCTCTGCTCTATTCCTCTAATTTTCTTCCCTCTTCTCTGCTCCACTGCTTCAATCTCAGATTCCACAGCTCAACTCTGAATGAACTCGTAGCCTTTTCCTTTCTCCACTTTCAGAGTCTCCCATGGCGACCTCAATTGAACAAGGTACTCTGCTCTTCCTCTCTTTCTGTACACATACGTATTTTTTAATTTCCAATTAATTTGATACGAAGAAAGAAAAAAAGATTCTCTGTAGCTAGAGCTCTCAAAATAAATGAATAAACTAAGAAATTAAATACTCAAATGGATTAACAATCAACAACTTCTCAGGTGCCTGTCACTTTGCCCACATGCATAATTTCATTTCCAAAATCAGCTACCTTTTTTAATTTTCCTGGAGAGTTCTTCCTTTCCTCTGAACCGAACAGGTTTTGTAACTTTCAATTTTGTGATTATTGAACTTGTAGGAGGTGATAGGGACTTAGAGAAAGGTCTGATGACTCCAACACAGAACCAAAACCCTCTGGCCGAGCCTTCTCCTTCGCCTTCGCCATCGCCATCTCCATCGCCGTCGGCGACGGCATCGGCACCGGCGTTGGTTCTGTCCAACTCCGGCAAGCGCATGGACCAGGCGGGAAAGAAGAAGTACGTGAAGCAGGTCACGGGGCGCCACAACGACACCGAGCTCCACTTGGCTGCTCAGCGCGCCGATCTAGCCGCCGTAAAGAAGATTCTCGGTGATATCGATTCGCAGATGGTGGGGACCGTCAGTGGGGCCGAGTTTGATTCGGAGGTGGCTGAGGTCCGTGCGGCGGTGGTGAATGAGGTGAATGAGCTGGGGGAGACTGCCTTGTTCACGGCCGCTGATGGAGGGCATCTTGATGTTGTTAAGGAACTGTTGAAGTATTCAAATAAGGACAGCGTTACGAAGAAGAACCGCTCGGGGTTTGATCCCTTGCATATAGCTGCATGTCAAGGACACCATGGTAATGATCTTAAGCTTTTATGCTCTTTTGGATTTTGAACTCCTTATCTAATTTTAATTATTTGGTTTGTGAATTTGGGTATCTGTGGAACTTTTGTTGTGGTGAAGATTGCAAGAGGGTTATTAGGATTAGAGTTTGCTTTTTGGAAATGTTGGGATCTGGCTATGTCATTTCTCTTGTTTTTATAGTTATTTAATATAATGGGCAATAGAGTGTATATCGTATGAGCAAAGCTGCACTGGAAATAGGAAGTACTGATTATTTAGTTTGCAAGTTTTATGATTTGAAAGAATGATCAATTTTGATTGATGGAGTATCCAAGTGTTTACTGCATAAAATATTTGCCACTGCTCTTATTTTCTCATCAACAATACAGGCTATCAATTTTTTGAGATATTCATTTATAGAGAGTGGAGCATTCAAGATTATGGTGTATTATAAACTATGTCCTTGTGTGGACAACACACACGTGTTAACTTTGCCATATGACAATTGTCTCCTGGTTCCGTTGGACAGACTTTAACACTGGTTTTCCTAAACCTTCTGATACCTTTACTAGTTGCTTCTGCCCTGGTTCTTTGTCTATACTCACATAATGATTTCTTTCTAGTCCGAGTAAAATGAAAGTTAGAGCTTCCATGGTCTGAATGCTACTGTGCCGTTGGACAATACATTCATACTCCCACTTTTCTTGCAGCCATCGTCCAGGTACTACTAGATCATGACCCTGGGCTAAGCAAAACAATTGGCCCGTCGAATGCAACCCCACTTATATCTGCAGCTCAAAGAGGGCATATAGCGGTAGTTGATGAGCTGCTGTCAAAGGATTGTACCTTGTTGGAGATTTCTAAATCAAATGGGAAGAATGCATTGCATCTAGCTGCGAGAGGGGGGCATGTGGAGATTGTAGGAGCATTGCTGAGTAAGGATCCACAATTAGCACGAAGAACTGACAAGAAAGGGCAAACTGCATTGCATATGGCTGTAAAGGGGACAAACTGACAATTAGCACGAAGAACTGACAAGAAAGGGCAAACTGCATTGCATATGGCTGTAAAGGGGACAAACTGTGAGGTGGTGAAATTGCTTCTTGAGGCAGACTCTGCAATTGTTATGCTTCCCGATAAATTTGGTAACACAGCATTGCATGTAGCCACCAGGAAAAAGCGAGCAGAGGTACTTTATATCTGGGTTACTCATCTTTACTGATGTATCTTTTGAATGGTATGTGGTTGTGAATTCCAATTTCTTTAATATAGTAACAGTGGCTGTGAGTCAATGATGCTTTAAGTGATTGCATATTATGAAGCCTTAGTAGTTTTGCAGATCTCAGGCTAAGTTTTATTTTTAAACTTATACCATGATACTTTTTGGCAGCATGGTTCATGGAAGGGAAAGTTTTTTTCAATATTTTATTTTTATAGGCTGATAGGAATAGTTTGATTCCGAATAGTTATATACCCTTCTTCTAGTGGATGCAGAAAGCAATAACATATATCCTTGATATTGTGTTGATTCAAAAAAGATTGTCGGTTTCTAGTATGTAAGGAAAATTATGTATCTGCTAGTGTGTATACTGCTTTTTTCCCTTTCTTTTAGATTTACTCTTTTGCCATTTGTAAAATCCTTTCTTCAGCCGAGTGATCCTTGCACATGGTTGCTACAATATGAGCTATTCTTCTTTGGCAATTTCCTTTTGTGATATAACTTGATTTGTATGTGTTAATATAATTGGGATGAACTATGAGTTCATATTAGCTAGTCTGGTGTGACCAGAATAGTTAAGGTGACTAAAAATTGTCATCAGTATTCACGTTGTTTCTCTGAAAAATTGGGTTTAGGGACCTTTATTGTATTTTCTGCACTTCTTTTTAGCTTTGGTTCAAGCTGAACTAGCATAGCGGTCAGTTCTTGCTTTCATGCTTTCGCATCTCCATTACAATTATAGATCTATCTGTAATGGTTTTTTTTCTTTCCTTGCAGATAGTGAATGAGTTGTTACTCCTTCCAGACAGCAATGTTAATGCACTGAACAGGGAGACCAAAACGGCTCTTGACATTGCTGAAGCACTTCCACCTTCTGAAGAATCCTCAGAAATAAGGGGTTGCCTTTATCGCTACGGTGCTGTCAAGGCTAATGAACTGAACCAACCAAGGGATGAATTGAGAAAAACAGTGACTCAGATCAAGAACGATGTTCATATCCAGCTTGAACAAACAAAGAAAACCAATAAAAATGTTCACAATATTTCCAAAGAACTCAGAAAGCTCCACAGGGAAGGAATCAACAATGCCACCAACTCAGTCACTGTGGTGGCTGTTCTATTTGCAACAGTTGCCTTTGCAGCTATCTTTACTGTGCCAGGTGGTGATAATGACAATGGGACAGCTGTGGTAGTGAAGAGTCCTCCTTTCAAAATATTCTTCATTTTCAATGCCATTGCTCTCTTTACGTCGTTGGCTGTTGTGGTTGTTCAAATTACCTTGGTCAGAGGGGAGACAAAAGCGGAGAAACGGGTGGTGGAGATAATCAATAAGTTGATGTGGCTGGCTTCCGTGTGCACTTCAGTGGCTTTCATGGCCTCCTCTTACATAGTGGTAGGGCGGCACCATAAGTGGGCTGCAATTCTAGTAACAATTGTTGGGGGAATGATAATGGCCGCAGTTCTTGGCACCATGACATATTATGTGGTAAAGTCGAAGCGGATTCGTTCCATGAGGAAGAAGGAGAAGCATGCAAGGAGGAGCGGTTCCAACTCATGGATGCCCTCTGACTATTCCAATTCGGAAATCGATCGAATTTATGCCCTTTGAATTTGATGTGTGAAATTTTCACCCTTTGCATAGTTTGTGAAGGATTGTAGAGAGTAGAAACGCTAAAACAATGGATGTTGAATAACAGCAATATATTTGTTTGTCCCACTTATTCTCTGCTTCTTCTTGTTGGTACTACATTTGCAAACTCCACTTGTACTGTAAACATATCTCAAATAGGTCTCCCCTTGTTTTAACAGCGAGGTGGTGTCTTTTGCTAGATTAGTCTTGTATATATATTTGGGATTTTTGCTTTTATTTTTTAAAATGTCATTTTACGAGAACTGCCAATAGTTTGAGGTTCATTAAAGACTTTTGCGTTTTTGCCTTAATTTTTTTCTTTCAAGATATAGAAATATAGCTATTCGAAATCCCTTCCTAAATAATGCTTTTTAAAAAAAAAAGGAGTTTTCCTATTGAGAGGAGCGATAATATACTAAATTTTTACACACTATATTGATGCTAAAATTTGAACTCAGGACCTTGTCTGTGGGAGCAATTTCTTCAAGCCACTATACTAGTGGGTCCTTTGCCCTTTTTGAATAGCGCTTGAACTCCCTTTGAGTGGTAAAATTTTAAAAATTGAGTTTAGGCAAGAGACTTATAGCTCGAAAAATGTCATTTTACGAGAACTGCTAATAGTTTAAGGTCCATTAAAGACTTTTGCGTTTTTGCCTTAATTTTTTTCTTTCAAGATATAGAAATATAGCTATTCGAAATCCCTTCCTAAATAATGCTTTTAAAAAAAAAAAAAGGAGTTTTCCTATTGAGAGGGGCGATAATATACTAAATTTTTATACACTATATTGATGCTAGAATTCAACCTTAGGGCTTTGTCTGTGGGAGCAATTTCTTCAAGCCACTATACTAGTGGGTCCTTTACCTTTTTTGAATAGTGCTTGAACTCCCTTTGAGTGGTAAAATTTTAAAAATTGAGTTTAGGCAAGAGACTTATAGCTCGATAGTTAAGAGGATGCACTTAAGGTCCATAGTTAGAATTCCGTCTTTATGCTTGTATTAAAAAATAAAAATTGGGTAATTAAAGAAATCATGAGTAATTAAAGAAATAAAAAAATCCACAATGACGACAGAAAAAATAAGTCCAACAAGTCAACAAAAGTGACTAGTAAAACAGAGGAAAGACAACCACGTCACCAATTGAAGAAATTGCCCTCGAAATCTCGCGAATTTCCGATCTTCAATCCAGGATCGACCGCCTGGTTTTCGAGCTCGAACCTCATTTGGAACCTCTCCATGGCGACGCAAAAGGTTCAAAGACTAACCATTTCGCTAAAAAAAATCGCTAACACAAAGCTTAAGCGTCGATCTCAGACTCACTCACTTACTTGTTCATTACTAAAATGCAGCCGTTTCTCTCCTTAGAGCTTTATCTGAAGCCAAATCCTATGCTTCAAAGGTAAAGCAAACGCTTTGAGGTTGAATTGTTCTCGAAAACGAAAACCCATTGATAAAGTATGGATTTTCATAACAGGATCAGGTTGTTCACAATAGGCCTTTGTCTTATCATGTGCTGAAAAACCATGTACAAGCCTTAGAGAGAGAGCTCAACTCGGTTCCTCAGTTTCGGAAGCTGTTAGCAGGTAACCCTTTTGTAGTTTTTTAATTATGATATTACAATCAGGAAAAACTTTTGATTTTGATGGGAATTTGAAAATTTACAGACGTTGAATCTAGTGGAGAGAATTCGAGGCAGGTTTGTTGGGCCGGGAAAGTGCTTGATAGAAGTAAACGGTTATGTGATTATATTGGAGCCAATGAGAAAACAAAGGTATTTAGTACTTTCTAGTAATTAGTATAGATTGCAATTGATTTCACCATGTTACGTGAGCCCAAGTTTTGAAATTTGTAGTGGTAGAGAGATAGCATGGTGTGTAGTTTGTTTAAGCTTTTAATGTTTTGTGGGAAAGAGATAACTTGGTATAGTTGTTTTGTGGCAGATTGTTATCAAGCTGCAGTCAACTGAGTCGTGTCTTGTATAATTAGTGGTAAGTGTGGCAAATGAATCTGCTTAACTCTTCCATACATACTTGTCTACTTGTATGTTTGTGTATGTCTTTTTGTGTTGCACAAGTGAATGTGTGTTCATGTGCATGATTGAATTGATTTGCGTTCAGGAAACGGCAAGATGCATCTGAGGGACCACAAATGGCTGTGAAGATGGACGCTGATAGACCAAGGCACTTGATTCTCAAACAAGTTACAGGTCTACAGTGCACTGTCAAATTATAATGTAAATTCTTCCTCATCTGGTTTGTGTGTTATATTTTGGTTTTTGGTTGGATGAGAATCCCAAGAAGAATGATAAGAGATTTTGACTTGTGATGCATTGACAATATCATTGTCTTTAAGTACAGATGACAGTAAGCTGTATGATCATATTCAATGACAGGCTAGTTTACCTTTGTTTTGGAGTGGAATTTGTGATTGCTTTTATGGATATTTGGATTTATTTAGCTGTTTAAAAAGGTAAATGAAGAGTAGCAATCTGCATGTTTGCGTATGTCATATTTATATATGACAAAGGATAAGGGATTGATTGAAGAAAGAAAATGTCAAATAATTGTTTCATCCAGAGCTTGAGCTAGCAGACAGAGTTAAACTAGCCCAAGGATTGTTATCCAAACCTCTCAGGTTATAGGGACAGCCTGGTGATGAATCCACCAACTTCCTAAGGCCTGTTCATAGTTCAAGCCAAAATATTAATAAAAATGAAAATAAAACATTTTTCGCTTCAGTTGGCCTTTCAACTATTGTTTCCAAGATCAAAGTCAGCGTCCCGTCTATGCTATTGACACAGGATCCTGAACTCCGCCTAAGCTGTTGCATTCTGGCAAAATCCGTGCAGTTATTTACCACTAGTTAAGCACAGAAATTTACCACTGTATAATTGTGAAATCAAAACTTTTACTTAAAAAGTCTATGCAGTTATGCATCTTTTACTGATCTCTGTTAGAAATTTAGAATAGAATAATTGTTGCCGCATTGATGTGTTTTGTACTGATCTTTATTAGGCTAAATGGGTATGGATGCTGATGCCTTAGTTTTCTATGCTAACGTTGCGGCTTATGTGAAATTAAAACTATTAAGAAGGCAAACTGATTTAACAATCCAGCTGGTCTGCAAGGCCTACCATTGCCTTCTTTTGTCCCTGATAACATTTAAATTTGGGTGGGGAGAAAGGTTTGTGGTTAGGTGCATATCTGTTAACCTGTAGTGCTCAACAACATCAATTGAACTTTTTAATTGCGTTCCTTTGTTCTAATCCTGTCAAATTTTTGGCTGACATGTTCACTTAATTTAAGGTTTATGTTGCCCACTAGGAGTATCTGGGAAAAGAAAAGAGGAAGGAAACAAGAGCCAACAAAAGGCTCTTTCTTTTTGCACTTCCAAATATCTTCTTATATTAAATTGTTGAATATTTATTTCCTCTTGTCAACTTAGTAATTTTTTTCACAATGTCCTGCATTTAAAGAAGGCAGGGTCTAAACTCTTTGTTTTTTTTTTTTTTGCTTGTTGTTGTTGCTTTAGGATCAATTTTATATCATGTAGTAAGAGTACATATAGTTTATTTGTTGATCCAAGAATCATTTTGTATGGAGGCTGGTGTCTTTTAGCTACTCCTGAAGGGTAGATAGGTGGGTTTTTTTAAAACTCGTGATTCGATGGTTGGCTACGACGTAAAGATGTTGATATTAGCCTAATCTAAGGTTCTTTGCAGTTAAATATTCATCAGGGAATGATGCCGGCTCATTTGAATATATGGTTTCTTGGATTAAATTAGCTATCAGTATATGATGAGAATAATTTTTTTCTTGTGCCTTCTTTGTCAGCTGGAAACAGAAGTGAAATTAGAGTTCTTATGTCCCAGACTGTAAGCTTGGACGATTTGGGATCACAATTATGATGAAGATGGTCATCTACCTTCTCTCTATCTAGTATTCAGACTTCGTAATTTTCTTTTCAAACAGTTATCTGACGATTTTTAGTTTTCTACTATTCATTTAGATTTTTTATTTGTACTGTGTACCTTTCCTTACTTTTTTTCTTTCAATTGAGTTGTACGGTGCGCCTTGATTCAGGAGCATATGTAAAAGATATGTTTTATTGCTTAAGTTCTTTTTATATTGGAGAGTGCTACTTATCCCAACTTTTCTTTCCCTCTTCACTTGATTATGACGTCTTAAAAGTATCAGTTCAGAAATTTGTTAGCTACAGCAATGGATTTTGCTGAGTGAAACAACTTTCAGAGGGTTACATGATGTCTTGTCTTAGAAAATAATTACAAACCATGAAAGTAGCAGATGATTTAAAAGACATCAATCAATCAATAAATGTTGAATGCTTGCTGATTTGAAGGTTCTAGATCTGTATTGATAACTACTCATATTATAATTTAGGTCTAGGACAGAAGAACTATTTGGCTTTTAACAAACTTTAACTGGATCTCCTGCCATGAGAATTTCTGACAGCCATGCACTGAATCAAAGCATACCCATTATCAAATTTATCAAAGAAGCCCAAAACAAAAAAACAAAAAAAAACAGATCATTAACCCAAGTCAAAAGTTTGTACTTTGCGCACCCTCCATCTTTCTCTACTCACTCAGAGCCCCGTCAGCCCCTGCAAAGGTCTGGTCTCTCTTGGTCCTCACAAGCTGCTATCCTGGAAGCTGACGTTGAGTAAAACCCAACTTCGCTTACAGTCTTTCTTGAACGAAGTGGTTGCTGAGACTGCTTGCAATGCGCAATTGCCCCCTGAATTGAACTCTCAATTTCTGAACTTGCACTGTTGCATCTCTTCAGGAACTGCAGCTCCTGAGTCCCATTTGAATGATTTGACAATGAAGATGAAGAAGAGCCAGATGATGATGAAGAGGACGTTGAGTTCTTTGTCGAATGCCGTTTGATGGCCAGTGAGAATGATCTTCTGTGAATACCAGCACCATCTTCAATGATCTTGTCTTTGTTGAAGCTCCTCGTGCCGGAAGCAGACATCCGGCATTTGTCTTTCTGAATTTGTCCAAATGGATTTTTCTTGGCCGCCTTCACATATTTACTTAAATCCTCAGACTTTAAAACCATTCCTCCATATGCACTCTTAGCAGCTGCTGCACTGTTCTCATCTGAGCAACCAGATTTCCCAAACAGAGACTTGAGGTAAGCCCGGGAAGCCTTCAGCTTTGACCCCAGTAATGACTGCTTGAACTTTCTGGTCCAAGACTTTTTTGGGTTTTCATGGATAAAGCCACTCACTTCAGTTGCATACTCCAAAATATACTCTTCTGGGTTCAGCTCTCTGCTAACCTGGCAAGACTCAGAAGGTGAGATGTTGCAGGATTCAAATGGAGTGCTGGTTGCGGTTGGAGTTGGGGCAGCAGTGTTCATCAATGGTGTGCTATAGAATTCTTCGAACATATCTTTTCGGCTATCAAATGCAGAAGTGGAGTTTTGCAGTAGTTTTTCAACCATTTGTAAACGAGGGGGAAGGTGGAGGGGAAGTAGCTTTCCTTTGTAGAAAAGCTCATCAGCTGGGGAAGTTGAGGGAGGCTCTCTCTCTAGGGAAATGGATGACATTTGAAACTCAAACTCTCTGGGGTGTGGAGGAGAGCTCATGGAGTGGCACAGGTAGCCAGAGTACGAGCTCACTTCCATGTCGATGTAGTCGTCGTCTGCATGGTCACAGGATACGTGATCAACGGCCATGATCACTTCTGTGCTGCTAAGACAAGCCTCTGTGCTGTTTGAAGAGTTTTAGCTTACTGCTGGAAGTGGAGCTTTGTGGAGGGTTTTGAAGGTATTATGCAACCTTTAAAGCTTGTCCATGATGCCAAGTTATAGACAGAAATAACTGTATTTGAGAATTTTTTGAATCCTCCCAATTTCCAAATATAAAACTCCATGTGTGGACCATTTTCTGTTGGACCAGCGCTGATCCATTTCTTTACTTTTTTTTTCTTTTATCTATGATTTATAAATTTGTGGTTGTTTGTTCTTATTTGCAAAAGGAAAAAAAAAAAATTTGAGTGGGTGATGAGTTTTATTGGTTTTACAATGCCAATTATGCATCATTTCTCTCCTGGGCTCAGATTTCCTTGAGAAGCACTTTATTTACCATCATTATAAGACTTTAATTTGTTGGGACCATTTATACACTAATCCAAGTTCCTAACTTCAGAAAAAGAGGAAATATTGTGGTCAAGCACCATGATTAAAGGATTAGTACCTATTGATGACTTGCTTTAACCCCTTAATGATCATCAACTTGGGTTAATTGAGTGAAGATTTCATTCATTATCTGAAAATAACCAGCAATGCCTGCATTTGACTGCAGTGGACTAGCAGTCAAGTAACAGTAAACCCATCAGTGCCACCTAATTTATTAGTGAATTAAATACTCAAACATTTAGGGGCATGCACAAGAAAACAAGTACATATTTTTCTCAAACTCACCACCTTTTAAAATTAAATTTAAACTCAAGACCAACCCACATCTCAAAACCTGGCTTTTCTGCACTCCAAGAGCATAAACAAATCTTCTCTCTCCCTCTCTCTTTCACTCAAAGAAAACAAAACTTGGAACAGCTTTTCTGATCAGT